AGACTTCATGAAGAGGGAACGCGTCTTCGAGTGGAACAATGCGGCAGAAGACGCCTTCTTCCACACACTTAATGAATCAGTAGTGGACTTACATGACTTCCACGTCTTTCACCCGGCCCTCCTTGGCCCACCAAGAGCACTGACACATCATCCAGCTTCGGCCCAGTCCTTGAGTAGGATGACAACGACATACCCCTATCTCTAGAGCATTTCAGCATGAAGGGCCCCATCATCACACTGAAAAAAATCAATGACACGAGGGAAGAGGGGTTACTCACCTGCGTTGCAGCACTGAAACTTTGGCAGCACTTTCCGCTCGAGTGAAATCCGATTTGATCACCAACAACAGTCCTTCTGACTCCTTCGTTGTTCCATGAGATGCAACCAACGATCAATAGCACCCACGCTCCGTGAATGGCATACATTCACTGGTTTGACTGTGACAGAAGCATGATGAACGATGTCGTGGTCAGACTCTCCCGCTGCATCCACATGACGTTGTTGCGTCTGTCCACATTACGCATGGACAAGGGCATCACTCGCCACTGCATTTGAGGGTGTGAGGAGGCTGATAGGGATTTCTGCACAATCCTTGAGAACTGTCGGGCCCTGCATCCTCTTGCTTCGGAATTCTCCATGAGCGATGGACTACTCAATGTACTCATCTTGCACTCGCACGGACTCGTCAACCTTCCCTGTGTTCCTCAAGGTGTGCACTTGCAAAAACGGTTGAAAAAAGCATCACGCATTGCCTCTTGTCGAACATCTGAGCATCAATCGTAGAAGGGTTGATAGACAAAGATTTTACTGGTCGGGACGCCATTGAGTTTGTGCGCATGTGTTCCATCTGCCAGCAGACCTGGTGTGTAGCCTTCCCTTATCGAGGGCTGAAGAATTTTGGCATTTCTAAGATGACCACTGCTTCGATTGGGCTGGACATCATGAGCCCCTTCCAATGGAGCTGACACGGCCATGACAGGATGTTGCCTGTCGCCACTGTCTGACCATAAATTTTAGTCGCGGTTCTTCCAGAAGGCAACCAAAACAGCTGGTTCATGAGCGAAACCACAAGCACAAACACACAGTTAGATGAGCAAGCATGGCAAAGATGGAGCAAGCATGGCAAATTGCACAAGTTATCCGATGCGATGCGCTCTCTTCCCCCTGGACCACAGCGATTTGCAAGACTGCCGCCTCGAGGATTTGTTCCTTGCCCACAACAACACATAAGTTCACCCAGCCATGGGAGGTAATATTAGGCATGTGCTCTTGCGAGTTGGCACATGACCCCCCGGCCTGCCTCCCAGCAGGTTCCCCTCATCGCCCACTGTGTACGACATGGACTAACAAGGCACTCTCACCTCGCAGAGCCGGATGCACAATCTGCCCATGAAAACCACGGGCCAACATCGCCAGGGCCCACAAGCAAATGCATCTGCTGGTGGGTGACCAACGAACATTGATTACCCTGGCCCTTTTCCAGCGGTGATCTGTTTGCGTTGCACCCAAAAAAGTTCGCACTGGAGGAGGAAATCTCATGCAAGCTTCTCCCCACGCTCTGAAGTCCCCGGTAGATTCTGCATGCTGCTGACGATAACCTGAACAGTGCTGTGTTCGCCATCCACTTCCTGCCTCGCATTTGCCTGCCCCTGGTGTTCCACGCCCCCAAAGGTGGAAAAACACCACCTTCATGAAGTTGCCTCTTTTCCGCATCAACAATCACAAGACCCGCCTTCCAGGACATGGTAATGTGGATCGTGCGCATTATTGAGCATCGAAAGCCTGAGAAAAAGCCCCACGAAATATAAGCATTGTTCCCTTTTTGTGACAAAGCCTCTGCTTCGTGGCCTACCTGTGCGAAGCTAGGGTCCTCTGCCAAGCAGCTATTGAACGACTATGAGGGTTATCGGCTTGGTACGCCAGACACTGGCACAAAGTCCACCTACCCACCCACCTCTCAGACGAATGTTGTCGGGCAGGTGCTCACCTTCCTAAGGAGCGATGGATGCTAGATGCCCATCCTGTGACAAGTGCAGGTTCAGCTTGCCCGCCTTTTGCGAAGGATACTCTGGCAGTCTTGGCTCTAAAAAAATGGACTCCCTAACCACACAAGTTTCGGCCGAAGAATGACGAGACTGCATCTGGGCCTGGATTCCAACTTCGCTAGCCCACAAATTTGGGCCTGAGGTTGGACTGCATCTGAGCCTGAATTTGGACCTCAACTTCTGTTAACCTACCATTGTGGCCAGAGGCTCTACTCCATTTCAGGGTTGAAACACTTGCCAGAAAGACAAGTGACTGTCTCTGGAGACGACAGAGCGGCCTTGGTTTGCTGTCAGCCACTGGACACCATCTAGGAGGAGAGAGAGAGTGGGCCAGAGGACGAAATTTCGAGCTGCTGATGGTTTCTCTCCCATTTCCGATTCTTTCTGCTCCTATCCCCCTTCGATGCATAAGTAGTCATATCGAGTGTGCCGCTCTCAGGGCATACTCACACTCGAACCGTTTGACTTATTTCTGGACGGAGATGCGGCCAGCTACATCGAGCTACGGCCGTGAACGCAATCAGATACATTTGAGATACTGCTAGTGTCAGTGTGCCGCTCTGTGTTGAGGAAAGAGGAACCAAAATCAGACTCCGTTTATCGAATGTCCGTTTGCTGATGTATTCTTTCGCGTCTCTCAACTTTCTCTCGACTTTGGGCCTATCGAAACAGCGATGTCGGGGAAGTCGGGGAAGTCCTGGTGGGACCAACTCCTTGGAAGGAGAGAATAACTCTGGGACCCTCGTCTCGTCAGACCAAGCACAATCTCAACTCCTCCTCTTGTACGTGAAGCCTCTCTGCAACTGCCCTTGACACTTCCCCTCCGTCCCCTGTCTCGCGCGCAAAGCATCTAGCAACCCCTCCAAACACTCCCCCTTCCCCTGATTGCATCCGAGAGACGCTTGTTAGTTCCAGAATGAACCCATACAGTGCACGGCCTGGACCATGCATGGCATGCATAGTCAACCGGACCCCATCTCCAGCATTTTAGTCAAAAGGATGTTTCAAAAAAATGAAGAAGAAAAGACCAAGCATGAGTCGAACAGCCGCCCGCCCGTCAGGCAAAGCATCTTTGCAACTCCCCTCAAGACTTCCCCTCCTCCCAGCAGCGTTGTGTGCACCCCGTTGTGTGCAGAGTATCTCACAAACCCTCGACATACTCCATCCCCCTCTACCCCCATTGCTTGCAAGGCAGCACTAACCTTCTTCCCAACTGTTCTATGCAAAGCATCTTGCTACCTTCTTCACCGGAATGGAACACCCGGTCATTTTCAATGTGTCTAGACTGGAAGATCTGCCAAATACGGCTATAATGACGGGGTGTTCTATTCAGGAGAAGACGGTGGCCTCCCACACTCCCCCTCCCTGACCCATCAAGTGTGCAAACGGATTTTGCTATCCCTATTCACACTCCCCTGATAGTGTAGGCGAGGCAGAGGGGCTGCTGAAGGCCACTTGCATGCATCCAAAATGTTTGAGAGCATACATAGGAATCCAGAGGAGCCCCTTCAGACCGAGTGCTTCCAAAACTGTTCGGCGGCTAGAGCCTTGCCAGATCCATGTCCCAAGGCCGGCACAGACCTCTGATTAAGCCTCTCCGGACTGTTTTCAATTCGGGCCCTCAAACTCCCAGTCTTGGGCAGTCCACCTCATACCATCGCATAGAATGGCCATGATTGCATATTCATTACGCACATCAAGGTAGTGATCCTTCAGTGGTGGGGGGACTCACTGAGGCCACCCACTCCGAGTTCGCTAAAGCGCATTGTGACAAAGACGAATCTGTCAGCAAGCGGACTCACATTGTAGCCTTTCCGTGCTGCGGCCAAGGTTGGCGCTGTGACTTTTCTCTATGGGAGTGTGCAACCACTGAATGTCATCACAAACCATAGAGTAGTTCTAACTAAAAATTCAGGGCACCTGTGAGATACGTTTTCAATACATCTACAACAACTCTACACATTCGAAACACAATTTTTGCTTGATTGGTGCAAAAATTCAGCAAAATACTCATGCTTTGGCATCAAATGATCAAAACCTTTCTTTTCTTTTAACCAACCCGAGCAGATGCTACGGGTGCTGATAAGAGCAGACACCACTAGCACTGACCGGGAGGCTCCATCTATTGATGGGGACCACCACCTGCTGGAAAGCGGGTCCCGCGTCCGTGAACATTGTGAACATTGAGAATGTTTGTGTGAACAGATATGCAGTTGTAATAGCAGCGGTTCTTTTTTGAAACCTGACTTCCCCTCAATTGTGGTCTGATGTTAGGAAAAGCAGTAACTTTCTTTTATCAATAGAGAACAAATGGGCGCGTCCGACTGACAGACAAACAGACAGAGAGAGACATTTATGAGAGAAGCACAGCCAGGCAAAAAAAAAAAAAAAAAAAAAAAAAAAAAAGGGAAAAGCAGTAACTTCTGCCGGAACAGATGTACCTAGATCTAGGTTACCAGCTGGGCCGCTGGGGTGGCCCGGCTGGGCACCCTGAGGGTCGGTGCCCCTTGAGTGGTCAGATGTCGACCAGCCGACCAGTCCGCTGATCGGCTGGTCGGCACCTACCGGCGGGGGTCGTCGGCACCCCGCAATTTTTTTTTTATTATTATGATTTTTTTTGGGTCCAGAATCCCCAATAACCCCACCAACACCCCCACACCCGCCCCCGATACCCCCATACACCTCCTCAAAACCCCCAAAACGCCCCCCAACACCCTCATACCCCCCCCAAATACCCCCTATACCACCCCTATACCCCCCTATACAACCCCTATACGCCCCCCCCCCCCAACCCCCGCATACCCTCCCCAATCCCCAAAAGTTTCTCAGCAGATTTGGGATGTACTCAGCAAGCGCAGTACAGCCCCCAACTCAGATTTGAAAAAAAAAATCAGTGGATGGCTGTTTTCTGAGACCGCCGACCGGTCGGCCCTACTGGTCGGCTGAAAAATGGTCGGCAGTCGGCAGCTATACAACCCTGGTTATGCTGGATATAAATCAAATGATTTTACCTGAGGGTCGGTCCGGAATTCCTTACCAAATTGAAAATAAAAAAATAAGATCATATGGGTCTAGGCGGCACTGGACCCGGTGGCCTGGCCGGGCAAGTGGCCCTGGGCTGCTTTAGTAGCCTAGCCTACGATGCTATGCAAGGCAAATGTAGCTATGCAAAGTTTCCCATGCACTTTCATGTTTTTCCTATCCATGCGGCTGAACTGCTTGCCTCCGTACCTGCTTATCTGTCTGTGTGTGTTTTCCTGCCTGCCTGTTGCCTGCTTATCTATCTGTGTGTGTGCCTGTCTTTCGGTCTGCATGTCTGTCTGTCTGCCTGCCTGCTGCATATCAGTCTGGTCTTGCCTGCTCCCCTGCCCGTGTGCCCATCTGTCTGTCGCTCAGTGGGTCAGTTGCTCGGTCAGTCGGGCAGTCAGCCAGTGGGTTGGTCGGTCAGTGGGTTGGTCGCTGGGTTGGTCAGTGGATCAGTCAGTGGTTTTGTCACGCAGACCGTTGGGCGGTGTATGGCTGGGTGTATGGGGGGTCTACCCACCTGCCTGCGCACCTGCTTGTGTGCCCATCCGTCTGTCGATCTGTTGGTCAGGCAGCTGGTATGTTCGTCAGTCATTCAGTGGGTCAGTTGTTGGTCGGCTAGTGGGTGGGTTGCTGGGTGGGTTGCTGGGTGGGTGAGTCACTGGGTACATCAGGCGGGGGTTGGGCGGCTGGTTGGTCGGTCGCTCGGTCGGTGGGTTCGTGAGTTGGCCGATCAATCGGTAGATCAGTCAGTCAGTCAGTGAGTCTGTCTGTCTGTCTGTCTGTCTGTCTGTCTGTCTGTCTGTCTGTCTGTCTGTCTGTCTTCTCTCTGTTTGTTTCTGCCTGCATGTCTGACTCTCTGCCTGCTTGGCTTGTCTACTCCCTCCCTCCCTTCCCCCTATCCACCCAACTGAGGCACTCAATAAATCACATCTTTTGTTCAGTGAAAGGCCCCACGCAAAGTTTGAACAGGTTATATCAAAGGTTTTCGCAAACCAGCAAGTGTGTTACATGGATCAAACGATGTATTCAAGCAAAGTTCACACACACAAGAAGAAACCGAAGAGTGTGCTAGCACTCAGCTTATGCTGACATCAAAGACCACATATTTTTCATCCTGATTGTGTCAAGTGCGGCCTGACAGCATCGCCGCTTGCTTCTTTGCTGCATACTCAGCAAAGCGATTCAGATCTTGCTGTATGATACTCCCGACTAGGGGTGAGAGAGCCTGTTCACAATAAAACAACACAACATATGGGTCTGTTAAAGGTGAAAAACACATTAGAGTACATGATGAGAAATACGTAACCACATTCTCTCTCTCTCTCTATCTCTCTCTCTCTCTCTCTCTCTCTCTCTCTCTCTCTCTCTCTCTCTCTCTCTCTCTCTCTCTCTCT